GAAGACAATTAAACTATTGGTAGTAACATTTCAGTAATTGGTGGAGACATGTCCCCTCCGTCCATGCTAATTCTACACCCATGGGAATAATGATGGGAGAAACAAAGTTTTTCAAATCTTTTTAACTATTAAATCAGTTTCTTTACTCAATTAGCTTGAAACACCACATGCTGCAGAAACCTGACTGCAAAATTGCAACAAACATTCAAAGTGTGTATTAAGATTGTGTCATATCACATAAAGATGAGGAACCCAATTGCAAGCAAAACAAAAAGTCTTTTAATATTGTTCTCACAAACAGACAGGAAAATGGTGAGTGGCTGGAGACACTGAACAGGTGAATAATAATAGTGGTGGTCTGGTTCGGCAGCACGGATCAAATGTTCATAATACTCATCAACAGAGCAGATAAAACATTCATCATAGAAGAAACCGGGATGTCTCAGAAGTAACTCATCAACAGAGCGGATCACACATTCATCATAAAGAAACAGGAAGCATCAGACTGCAACATGGAATACAACCAGACCACTCATCACCAGCGAAGAGAGGAGCCTGACAAAACACAAAGAACCGTGAGCAAACAACGAACTGACAAAGTGAGACAGGAACGCTGAACATTTATAGGCACAAAAATGCGCTACACCTGTAGTGCGCTGATTATCAGTTGAGCGGCGCTACGGAATTGTTCCGGTAACAAAGAGCATGTGACCACTCAGCTGATGACATGAAAAACAAACACCCACTGACAGCCACGCGACACCCACACAAACACAGAGAGAAAGGCACACATACTCAGAAACACGTATCATAATAATGAACTGTCACACAACGCAGACACTTCAAATAAGGAGCAGATGAATCCACAACCGTGACAGATTGCCATTATCAAGCACACTTTAATCTTTAATTTAAGATATAAATGCACTTACTGTAGCATGTTATCTAATATCACTACATATTAAGGGTCTGCATTATGTCTTTTTTCAAAATATCAGGCCTTATATTGTTTGTTCCGTTCATTGTGGGCTCTCCGAAAAAGGACAAAAGACCATTAACTATGATTCCTTTTAGTTTTGTCTTATTAAACCTCTTCAAACTGATATGAGATCAGGTAAAAACTCTTAGACATGTTCAGTGATTCACCACTGGGGGACGATATGAGAGATAATTGATAATAGTGATAGTGATGAGTGATAATAATCCATCTGGATATTATCATATTAGACATATCGCTACCCAATGGAGAACCATCAGATTTTCTATATATTTTTTAACAGTAATGATGAAACCAGCCTCGTTAACTGAGATCATGTGACTTCAAATCATGTATGCTCCAAACCACTAATCTGATGTGAAATATATGTTATGTTTTAAAGCTTGGTGTAGCAGTGCTTCAAATGCAGCTATTACTCATGAGATGTAGACTTGAATGTCTTCAGCAGCATAGCAGTGATTGGAAAACAATTCATTCATTTGTTTTCTTTTCAGCTTAGTCCCTTTATTAATCTGTAGTTGCCACAGCAGAATGAACCGCCAAATTATCCAGCATATGTTTTATGCAGTGGATGCCCTTCCAGCTGCAACCCATCACTGGGAAACACCCATACACACTCATTCACACAGATACACTTCAGACAATTTAGCTTACCCAATTCACCTATAGCTCATCTGTTTGGACTGTGGGGGAAACCGGGGCACCCGGAGGAAACCCACACCAAGACGGGGAGAACATGCAAACTCCACACAGAAATGCCAACTGATCCAGCAGAGGCTCAAACCAGTGACCTTTTTGCCACGACAGCACTACCTACTTGTTTAAACTACTTATTTAAAATGTTGAAACAACACAATTCCTAAAATTTTTGGGAGACAACTTAATTGTGTTGTGTATAATCCACTTACATTTATTAAAAATTATATTTGTTTTGGACAACATTAAGCAATTATGTGGAACCCAGCATTTTTACAGTGCTGTGGACTGAACATAAAACAATCAAGCTTTCTCAAAACCATAAAGAATATGGTGTTTATTTAGCTCATTTTGCATAAGTAGTTTGAAAAAGCCTCAAATTATTTTTTATTGAGTGTGTAATTGGGAAAAATCCTCAGCAATTTCTACATTTTTTTTTATTTCAGCTAAGTTAAAAGAAATAAGTCTCTATCCAGAAGCAAAATGTAATAGGAAATACTGTGAAAAATGTCCTTGCTCTGTTAAATAAATGTTTGGAAATATTTGAAGAACAATGAAATCAATAATTTTGGACATTTGTTGATTGATTTGTTTTCAATTAGGTAATTCATGCATTCAATAACACATCTAAAGGTGGGGTACTGGTGTTCACTAAGGGGGTAAACTGAGACTCTACCAGTTAAAAAAGCACTGAAAACAATTTGGCAGAATGAGTATACTGTGCAAATAATAGTAGTTTTAGATGGATTGCCAAGAAAATAAGACAAGCAACGTACAAATAAGTCTTACAGTGGCGATTCCTATAATACATCATTGGTTGTTTCAAATAACAGTAGCTGATCTCCGGGTGCTTTTAATGAATGCCAAGGTGGTACAATACAGTATATGAGACACAAATATTAAATATTACTCCAGTCTATACAGTCTGGTCAAAAACTCCAGACTCCTTTTACAAGGCAGCAGCAGGATGTATATGAAGTTTATTTGCAAAAACACATATTTTTTCGAGATATCATGTTTTAAGTTTCGCATTGGAGTACAGTTGCAAAAAAACATGATTTATGGAAATTACTAAAAATGTTAGTTCAAATATCATGTTTTTACATTAAGTAAAACAATGAACACATGTGCAATAGGGGAATTGATTCACTAAATTCGCCGTAGTGTATGTGTATAAATGAGTGTTTATGGGTGTTTCCTAGTGTCGGGGCATCCGCTATGTAGAATGTATGCTGGATAAGTTGGTGGTTCATTCTGCTGTGGTGTCCCCTGATTATTAATGGGACTAAGCTGAAAAGAAAATGAATGAATGAATGAAATTGGCCATAGTGTATGAGTGTGTGTATGAATGAGTGTCTATGGGTGTTCACCAGTACTTGGTTGTGGCTGGAAGGGCGATTGCTGTATAAGAACACAAGCTGGAATAGCTCATTCTGATGTGGCGACCCCTCATAAATAAGGAACTAAGCCAAAAATATATATATATACCCTTTAAAAAATTGAGACTGTTAAGAGATGATGCCAATTTTACTGTCCACGAAAAGGATAAAAACACAATGAAGAGATGTGTTCCAACTCATTATGTGCATTGGATGGTTTTTATAGTGATTTTCTTTTCTTTTTACAAGACAGGACTTTATGTTTGAAATTTTGTACAAAATTTATAGTAAAGTGGAAGATAAACAAAAGTTTATAAATACCTATTCATGTACAGGAGCAGAGGTGAATGAGTTGGCAGCAAAACTTGCTCTGAGAAATGCTGTTGCTTTCAATTAATGTTTTCTTCACTAAGTCAGTTTAATTGTGATTGATCAAATAGGCCTGTCGATAGAAAGTTTGTGAAGAAATTTTATGCTCCCTTGTAAAAGTATTTTGTAGTATTTTTAAATCACAAAATATAGTATTTTATTTTTATACTCATTTTAGCTTCTGTATTGTGTAGTTTATTTTGATACATGTAAGAATGAGGCATTGGGTATATTTTCGTATATTCGTACTGCAATGGTACTGAAGTACTACAACTATAATGCAGTACCGCTACTGAGATACAACTGAAGTACTTCTACATTAGAACTGCAGAACAACTACTAGTTTTCCTGCTTGGTGGGCAATGGTTTCCAAATGAGGTTTCAGTACTTTCAGTTGTATTGCTGAAGTACTGCAACCATATATTGTATCATATATTGTATAAAGGAGCAGGTTTTTTTTTAAGTGGATTGGAGTTTGTGTATAAAAAGTCAGACCAAAAGTACAAACAAATATGTTAAAGGGGGAGAAGAAGTGGCGCAGTAGGTGTGTGTGAATGAGAGTGTATGTATGTTTCCCAGAGATGGGTTGCGGCTGGTAGGGCATCCGCTGCGTAAAAATGTGTCGGATAAGTTGGCGGTTCATTCTGCTGTGGCGACCCCAGATTAATAAAGGGACTAAGCCAAAAAGAAAATGAATGAATGAATGAACATGTTAAAGACCAATGGCAGCACATTATTGTATCAAGTATATAAAGTTATAATGTTATTAGAAAAAAAAATTTACAATCACAATTGAGCAAAACAGTGTGTTAAAAATCGAAGTTTTTAGGGAACAAATATAGACATGAAAAGATGATTATTTTTGTTTAAGTGTCAGTAGACATAGGTTGTATGGTCAGAAGGATGATTAATCTGTCCATCACTTGCTCAAAACACAGAAAAAAATGCTTATATTGCATTCATGGCATTGTAACTTCTCTTCGGTTTAACCAAGATTGCAACCAGTGTTTCATGCACTTTTTTTCTCCTTTTAGTTTTACATCGCTGTATGAAAGCCTCCTAGCACTGCTCACTTGTTGGCCAATGTCTCTTAATATTGCAGCATTTATTTAACAACAATCTATAGTTTAGATTTACCCCTCACTCCTTGTTCCTTGATTTTGTTTTGTAATCAATATTGTAAATCAAGGAAATGCAAGCGCAATACAGTTGAACACAAAAAAATTATTAGCCCTCCCTTAAATTTTTTTATTATTTTTCGAAGTGATGTTTAACAGAGCATTTTTTACAGTATTTTCTTTTATGTTTTACTATGGAAGAAAGCCTTATTTCGTTTAGTTTGGCTGAAATAAAATAATTTTGTCTTTACACTGAAAAAATGATTCAAAGATGATTTCCTGGATTTACTTAATGCTTTTAAGTTAAGTAGTTGTAAACAATTTATTTGGGCTGAATCTAAACAAACAAATTCAGTTGAACATTCCTATATTTAATTTGTTTGTTTAAATTCAAAACATATAAATTGTTTGCAACAATTTTGCAGACAGCATTTTTTCACTGTAAATAGTTTCTGGGACTCTCATTCAAGCCTAACTGCATCAAGAGGAAGCTGGAGGAGTGTCCTGTTTAAAACCACAGTCTGTAATATGAGCCAAAGCGAAAGTGAAAGCATGAAAGCCCCTACAGTTTATAATCACACGAAAGCACAAAACAGCAGCTGAAAGATGGAGAACTACATGTACGATGTGTGTTTTGAAGCCGGTAATCTCTCTGATTCAGCACTTAAACACATTAAAAGGTACTTTAATGTAAGGCGTCTATCTGGAAGAGGAGACTGTGAAATCTACGAAGTGGATAAAGACATCTACAAGATCAGTTTTACAAGTAAAAAAGGTAAGCATGCTTTATTTACTTGTTTATATTTTCACTAGGAAACTTACAGTTGCATCTCACTTAGATAAACTAAAAAAAAAACAATAAAATGAAATATATTTATCATCTTGATAATTTATGATTTTTGTATTCACAGACCAGGAAGCAGTGCTAGCCCGAGGAGATCATGTCATCAACACACCTGAAAAAGAGGACATCCGTGTTTCAGTAAGGTGTGACAATAATGCTAAAAGCAGAAAACTATCAAACGCATCTGCTAATCAGGTGAGAATCACAATCATAAACAAACTGATATTTAGCTTGGACTTATAACTCTGTTTAAATTTGTTTTCGGCTAATATAAGAGGGCAAAACCTGTTTTTCCTGAAGCCAAGACAAAGGCTGACTCCCTACATTCTTGCAAACAATACCCTGAGAAGTTCTTATAAATCACTTGCTTTACAATAATCATTGCATGGGTCTGTTATAGAGATGTTTACAATTATTTGATGATTGATTGATTGTCGATAAGCCTTTAATCAATAGACCTTATCAATGACCGATTAAGCATGATTATTTTAAGGATAACTTATGACTTTGCACATTAAATTATCAAGTGTGTGCAGTTTACATTACCTTATGAAGACACCCTCTCGACATTACATGATGGGGGACACTAAAAACACTGAATGCGTGAGCACAGCCGAGAGTTGTGAAGGCTTTTTTTCTTGACATGCTCACCGTTGACATGCTTAACATGCTCACATACTATTATTTGTAACCGAAGGGGCGACTCAAAGTAACTGTCATGATAAAACGGCAGCAGGCATTCATTCATTCATTTTCTTTTTGGCTTAGTCTGAGTTCGCCACATCGGAATGAACCGCCAACTTAGACAGCATATGTTTTACACAGTGGATGCCCTTCCAGCTGCAACCCATCTCTGGGAAACATCCATACACACTCATTCACACTCATACACCATGGACAATTTAGCAATTTGAATAAATTAGGTAGGCTAAATTGTCCGTAGTGTATGAGTGTGAATGAGTGTGTGTGAATGTTTCCTAGAGATGAGTTGTTGCTGGAAGGGCAGTCGCTGCGTAAAAACACATATGCTGTATAAGTTGGCGGTTCATTCCATTGTGGCGACCTCGGATTAATAAAGAGACTAAGCCGAAAAAGAAAATGAATGAATGAATGAATGATCATAAAATGTGTCTGGGGCAAAAGTGCAAAATTCGTGCAAGTGAAATTACAAGTGTGGTTTATTCATAAACTAATTTCGAGAGGATCACATGCTTATAATCAACACGGCTGGCTCCTTGTTTGCTCTGTAATCAGCCCTATTAGATGATTACGGAAGCATTATAAATAACCCGAGTTTTTCACTCCAGTTATCTTCGTCTTGAAGCTCGCCCCCTTTCCACCCATACATCCTCCCACTTTTTCTGATCGGGCGACACGGTGGCCCAGTGGTTAGCACTGTTGCCTCACAGCAAGAACACCGCCAGTCCAACCCATCGGGCCGGTTGGTGTTTCTGTGTGGAGTTTGCATGTTCTCCCCGTGTTCGCGTGGGTTTTCCCCGGGTTCCCCGGTTTCCTCCCACCGTCCAAAAACATAAACCATAGCCAATCGACTAAAACAAATTATCACCCAATACAACCTGAGTTTACACTTCTCACGGTGACAAGCAGGGGAGTTCTCGAGACCTACCTGACCTCGAATTCCCCTCTCGTCCTTCTAACGGGAGGGAGCCCCGGGCTCGAGGATATTACGAGCTCAGGGCTCTCTCCCGGGACAGCATGCCAAATACGCTTTATTGATTATCAGCTAAGTGTGAACTCTTGAAAGATTAAATATTGTGTTTTCTACTGTTGGTTTGTCAAGCTCACTCACTTGTGTAAGGCACACTGGTTTTGACCTGTTGTGGTTTTATTTAATAATGTATGTAATTTTTTTTTTTTTTTTTTTTTTTAGAAATCTGCGAGCTCTAAAGGTGTGGAGAAGGTATTTAAACTGGACCAATATCTTCTACGATTCCTCAGTGACTGTAAGAAGCCATATTCAGAATTGGAGAAACTCCTCTCAGCTCTTTCTAGCACCTTTGAGATCAACATTGAGACTGAAGAGTTGGTGGTGTTGAGGGACCCAGCAGGTGAAGATGCTTCTTCACTAAAAGAATGGGAACTTGGTGTGGACCAAGTGATTGAGAACCTAAAGATTCACAATAGTATCCACTTTGAGTTTGAAAGAGACAAATACGCAATTCTAGAAGAAAACCATTTCCTCCAAAATGAGGACTTAAAAATCTATTTTGAACAAGGCTCATGTGTGGCTGTGGTGGTCGGAGAACGAAATCAAGTGGACAAGATTTTGAAATTCACAAGCGACCTGCAGGAAAAACAGCAGGTCAAAGAAGAGTGTCAGATCTCAGAGAAACGATTTGCCCTCATTAAAGAGCAGTTTGAGTCATGCATAAACTCGGATTTACCTGCACTTCAGATTGCACCAAAGCGAGCAGGTGTAATCCTTTTGAAGGGTCCAGAGAAAGATGTCCAAGAAGGAAAAGAGAAGCTTGCAAAGTTGGCACAAGGGATCCAAGAGAAGAAGATCCCATCAAAATATGCCCTTATGAACTTCTTGGATTCAAGCGATGGTATAAAACACTTCCAGAGAAGATTTCAGCAGAGCCTCTGCAGCCCAGTAATGCTCGAGACTTCAGGATCAGATCTGCTTCTGTTGAGTTTGTCTGATGAAGCACTTCAGGAAGCGGCCAGAGTCATTAAGAGAGACCTGAGCTTAGAGATTATACATTTGGAAAACACTCAGAAGTCATCAGCGTTTACTACGCTAAAGGAAGAGTTGAGTAAAGCGGTCAAGCAGGCCAATCGTGAAAGTGTAAAAGTGGAGCTTAAATACCAGAATGAGTCAAGCTCTGATGCCAAAGTGCAACTGGTCGGCTTCACTACTGAAGTTAATGAGCTGAAGAACATGTTACTTGAATATAAAAGAAACCATCAGATGCATGAAGTCCGTCTGGCGCTTCAATTCCCAGAGATGGCAAAGCATTTCTCTGAGATCATGTCAATGGCTGGTGTCAAGAAGAACAGTGTGAAAATAAAGCCAACATGTTCATCTTCCCCATGCATCCACCTTAAAGGACCTCACTGTGCAGTTGAGAGTTTAAAGGAAACCCTTGATTCATATCTCTGCAGTCTTGTGACTAAAAGATTTGAGGTGAAAGGACCTGGAGTTCAACAGTTTTTTCTAGGTGATGGTGCAGAGACACTGAAATTAGTGAAGAATTCTTATATGGTTGGGATTCTGCCCATCAATGATGAGCAACCAAGATATCAAGTGCCCAGTTACTCAACCAGCTTGAGTATTCTAGGCTCAGCATCTGCTCCATCAACCCATCAGTCTCCTGACTATGAGAATATAATACACATTAAAGTTGTGGTTGGAAGTCTTGAGCAACAAAAGGTATGTCTGATAAATTTATCTCCATTTCAGAAGATCCATATTTTAACATACTTAATAACCCCTTACCACTTAGAAAAACCCAAAGTTGCTTGGTTGATGGATGTACATTGTGTACAGCAATTTGCAATGTCAAGTGTAAATTTTAAATAAATTCTAGACACTTTTTAAGAATGTGCTTATGTTTATTTCCATTAAATATTTGCTCAGTCCTTCGCTTTTGTCTAATCTATGGTCAGAATGAAAACTGCAGACAGTCTTACCGAAAATAAGATCCAATTTCTGGACCGCTGTAATTTGTTCTTTAAAAACCACACAAAATAACGTAATTAATTTGTGATTTCTTTTTCATCATGAATACAGGCTGATGTGTTTGTTGTGCCAATGGTCCAAGCTAATATGACCTCAACATTGATTGGATCATCTCTGTTCAAAAAATCAGGACAGCAGCTTCAAACTAACTTCAACACTGTGAAGGGTCGTGGAACTCTTACACCTGGAGACGTGCTCATAGTGGATGCCACACCAGGGTTGGGATGCTCAAAGGTGTTCTTCATTGAATGTGCACCAAAGGGGAAAAAACTAACTGAAAAAGTAAGAGGAGAAAACCTGAACAGAGGGTGTTTTATAGTATTGATTTGATATATATATATATTTTTGTTATAGGTACTTCGCTGTGCGCTTGTCTGTGTTTTTACACTATGTGAGCAGAATTCTTTTGGTTCAGTTGCACTGCCGGTTATTGGACCTGGAGAAGTGTTGTCCATACCAGTCAAAGATTCTGTTAATATCCTTACTCAGGAGATCTGTAAATTTTTATCTCAGCCCACTGTTTTCCTGCACACCATCTATATCCCAATAATGCCTAATTACTCCCATTCTGAAGAGGTAAGCAATCAGTGTGTTACACGCTCTTCATACAATGAATTTTAGTAATTGTGTAATGGTACTTTCTAACTCTTTTTTTTTTCTAACTCTAATTTTCAGATGTTCGAGACAGTCCTTGGGAATTTCAGTAAAAAAATGGTGGACAAAAAAGGACAAGGTAAGAGATTTAATAGCAATTATAAATTGTGTTTATTAAGTACTGCTGTTTGGACTGTCGTAATCGAAGCAACAAATTGCAAAATATAAAAGAATTGAGTAGCTATTGCACATAAAAGGCAATAATATGAAAAAAAGTAGTTAACAAATTATGAACATTATCAGCATTTTAAATCTTCACAACAATCTTTATGAATCAGCAAAAATGACAGATGTGTTTTTATGCCTCCACATCTTCCTCTGTCACCACAGCTCTGTTTCTCTCACTGACCTCTGACCTTGATGAGGTCATCATGGCAGTAAATGGGATCCAACTTCATCTAGTGTTTGGTGACATCACTAATGAGACGACTGATGCCATCGTAAACACCACAGACTTTAAAGACTTCCAGACAAACGGTACTCATGCAAACCTTAATTTAATAGCCCAAACATCTTACATTTACATTTAGCAGACGCTTTTGTCCAAAGCATCAACAAGAAGAGGCAATTCATACAAGCAGTGCTAATTACAAAGAGCTGTTTGTGCTCAGAGAATTAAGTGCTAGTGTTAGGTTTATTTATTTTTTTATTTTTTTATTTTGAGAGAGAGAGAGAAGAGTGTTTCTACAAGTGGTTTGTTAAATGCACAATGTTGTTGTTTTTTTAATAGAGTGATTTTAAGAAAGTGTCTGGTGCAAATGTGCAAAACTAGTTTCAGTTAAAAGTGTCATAGATAAAAAAGTGTGTTATGTACAGATGGTTTGTCAAGCTCACTCACCAGGGGTCCGTTCTTCATACCTCGCTTAAAAGATTATTTGGCAGATCCTGGATCTTTTCATCTCGATAACTGATCTGTCGCTAATTTGGTTCTTCAAACAAGTTCGCAAATCAGATTAGAATGTCTGGATAAACCGATCTGAGATCGCTGCATGTGTTGTGAAGGACAGATCTATCGATCCTCGAAATCATGATCAGCAATGCAACGATTGGCTGACGGCACAGCAGCGTAATGACATCATCTGATTAATATTCAATTATCCATGTGAGCAAAATTACATCAAATTAGCAGAAACGGCTTGTTAAATATGACACACAATAACCTTCCACATTTGTTGTGAGCTGCAGGCTTTACACTTTCATGTGTCAAGAGTATTCATCATGTATGTCAATGCAAATCAGTGTATTTAGTTCCACATTTAGAGAAGATTTTCTTGATTATAGTAGCCGTTTTTTTAATCATTTTTTTAATAACTGGTTGTTTACAAAAGCATTATGATACTGATAAAGGCGTCTGCAACTTTTGTGAAGCATCAGATCACTGTCATGTTAACTGTCAAAGCATGTTTATGACTGCATAAATGTATTATTGCTTAAAAAAAACTCCATTGTACTAAAGCGATCTTCGATGGTGCAGATTGCATAAGTTTTATTAATATGTATAACTTAATTTATTTTATTAATAATTATAACTTTATATATATAGTTTAAAAATAAGTAACATTTTCCCAAGTGTATATAACTTTTACTGTAAGAAAAAAACTTTCTGTATTATCTTTGCTTGAACTGAGCCGATCTAATCCTGTTTATATGAATTGAACCTGCTCCCGATCAGGTTTGACCTAGCAGAACTGTTGCTATGACAACAATTCTCAGATCAGTTTTGAAGAACGAAACGATCCTGGATCATGTCAAATCGCCAATATCCAAATCCAGCTAACTGAGTAATCCACGTACGAGGAACGGACCCCTGAGGCACACTCAGAATTGATAATGTTATGGGGCTTTGTGTGAGATCTTTATATATGTTTAGACCCTAAATAAGTGTTTGTTTGTGGCCCTTTGCAGGAGTGTGTAAGGATATCCTTACAAAAGCAGGTCCCCATGTTCACGCTCAGCTGAAAGGTGGTAAGAAAAGTAAACTCCATTGACTCTTTTAAGAAAAATAGTGTTTAATTTATTTCATGTATAATTGGATATCACCAGTATATTTACAGTGTATAATTTTACTGTATATTCAAGTGCAGTATAAATAGCCTTTGTAAACATTCACAAACTTCTGTCACAAAGTTTTATGGATCAGTGAATAGACTCATTCAACAGGCTGGACAATGGGATTTTAGAATGGCTGAAGAAATTTCATACCCCAGATTTACACTTTAAATCTTTATACTTTGTCACTGTCCTTAAATCCATTAGGTTTTACTCTGTCAGCTATTGCTTTTTAATTATAAAAAACACCAAATATATATATATTTAAATATATTTTACAAATATCCGATCATTTCCTTCTGTCTCTCAACATCCACATTACTCCTGAGCCTACACACACTCCAACACTGGTTACCTTTCGCAGAAACCTACGATCTCTCTCACCCAATAGCCTATCCACCATTGTTTCAGACTCTCTTCCTCCATCTCACAAACTCACTGCACTTGATTCGAACAGTGCCACTAATACACTCTGCTCCACACTAGCATCATGTCTAGACCGATTATGTCCGCTTGCATCCAGGCCAGCCCGTGCCAGTCCTTCTGCACCCTGGCTCTCGGATGCTCTCCGTGAGCATCGCTCAAAACTTCGGGCTGCGGAGAGAATTTGGCGGAAAACTAAAAATCCTGCACATCTCTTAACATACCAAACTCTTCTGTCCTCTTTCTCAGCTGAGGTTACTTCGGCAAAGCAGACATATTACCGTCTGAAAATCAACAATGCCACTAATCCTCGCCTACTTTTTAAAACATTTTCCTCCCTCCTCTATCCTCCTCCTCCACCCGCATCCTCCACACTTACTACTGATGACTTTGCTACATTCTTCTGCACCAAAACTGCAAAAATCAGTGCTCAATTTGCTGCACCTACAACAAACACGCAAGATACACCACCACACACACTCACCTCTTTTTCTCAGCTCTCTGAGTCTGAGGTGTCCAAACTCGTGCTATCTAGCCATGCAACCACCTGTCCACTCGATCCCATTCCCTCTCATCTCTTGCAAGCCATCTCTCCTGCAGTCATACCAACACTGACTCACATAATTAACACATCTCTTGACTCTGGTCTATTCCCCACTACATTTAAGCAGGCTAGGGTAACCCCCCTGCTAAAGAAACCCAACCTGGACCATACGCTACTTGAAAACTACAGACCAGTATCCCTGCTTCCATTCATGGCCAAGATTCTGGAGAAAGTAGTGTTCAATCAAGTGCTGGACTTTCTTACTCAAAACAATCTCATGGACAACAAGCAATCCGGCTTTAAGAAAGGCCACTCAACTGAGACTGCCCTGCTCTCGGTCGTGGAGGATCTCAGACTGGCTAAAGCAGACTCTAAATCATCAGTCCTCATTTTGCTGGACTTGTCAGCTGCTTTTGACACTGTCAACCACCAGATCCTGCTATCTACGCTCGAGTCAGTGGGCGTTGCGGGCACTGTTATACAATGGTTCAGATCTTACCTCTCTGACAGGTCATTCAGGGTGTCTTGGAGGGGAGAGGTGTCCAACCTACAGCATCTAAACACTGGGGTACCTCAAGGCTCTGTTCTTGGGCTACTTCTCTTCTCCATCTACACGTCATCTCTAGGACCAGTCATCCAGAGACATGGATTCTCCTACCACTGCTATGCTGATGACACCCAGCTATACCTCTCTTTTCATCCTGATGATCCCTCTGTTCCAGCTCGCATCTCAGCCTGCCTGTTGGATATTTCACACTGGATGAAAGATCATCATCTTCAACTGAACCTCGCAAAAACGGAAATGCTTGTAGTTTCTGTCAACCCGACTGTACACCATAACTTTTCAATCCAGATGGATGGGGCAACCATTACTGCATCCAAAATGGTGAAAAGCCTTGGAATAACGATTGATGACCAACTAAACTTCTCTGACCACATTTCTAGAACTGCTCGATCGTGCAGATTCGCACTCTATAACATCAGAAAGATCCGACCCTTCTTATCTGAACATGCAGCTCAACTCCTTGTTCAAGCTCTTGTTCTCTCCAAACTGGATTACTGCAACTCTCTACTAGCTGGGCTTCCAGCTAACTCTATCAAGCCTCTTCAACTGCTCCAGAATGCAGCAGCACGAGTGGTCTTTAATGAACCTAAACGAGCACGTCACTCCGCTGCTAGTCCATTTGCACTGGCTGCCAGTTGCTGCTCGCATCAAATTCAAAGCTCTGATGTTTGCCTACAAAGTGACTTCTGGCCTTGCTCCATCTTATCTGCTCTCACTTCTGCAGATCTATGTGCCCTCCAGAAACTTGCGTTCTGTGAATGAACGTCGCCTCGTGGTTCCATCCCAAAGAGGGAAGAAATCACTTTCGTGAGCGCTCATGCTCAATCTGCCCAGTTGGTGGAATGAACTCCCTAACTGCATCAGAACAGCAGAGTCACTCGCTACTTTCAAGAAACTACTAAAAACCCAACTATTTAGTCTCCACTACACTTCCTAATCTGCAATTGCCTCTCTGAATATCACACTAACTGTACCAAAAAAAAAAAAAATATATATATATATATACTAATACTACTAATACTTCCCTTCTTAGACTTTACAGACCTGAAACTTGCTTATAGCACTTATTCATTGTTGCTCTTGGTTGTGTAAATTGCTTCCTTGTCCTCATTTGTAAGTCGCTTTGGATAAAAGCGTCTGCTAAATGACTAAATGTAAATGTAAATGTACTTGTGTGTGCAGGACAGTATATCTATATTATGTAAATGGTGATACCAAATTATAGTAAACTGTGACATATTATAGCCAAAAAGTATTAATCCAGTGGACTAAAAAAGTAACAGGAGTCTGAAAAAACTGAAAATGCAGATTCATATTTTCATCTTAAACCATCCTTTATCAGCTCAGGTCGCAAGTGGGCAGATCTTTACGACCCCACCGGGAGGCTTCCCATGTAAGACCATCATGCATGTTTGTGGAGAGAGAAGCCCCAGCGTCATCAAGACCTTAGCAAAAGAAATAGTGGTTCAGTGTGAGAGCGGCCAGTACCAGTCTGTGGCCATTCCTGCTATCTGTGCTGGTCAGTACTGTAGTTTCATTTGCACTTCATGCAACTGCCATTTCCTGTTTTACTCAGAAATGGAATTTTAAACATTTTAAATATATATAGTTTTAAGATTTTTTCTTTGCATGCATGATAATAATTGTTTTTAATAAAAGTGAAACATTTAATGTTTGTGAACTTAACAGGACAAGAAGGAATGGATCCAAATGTGGTGGCCAAGTCCATTCTAGATGGAGTAAAGGAGGGGGTTCAAGAAGTGAATCTTCAATATCTCAGAAATATTCGCATCATTCTGCTGAAAATTAATGTTTTCCTGGAATTCAAAGCAGTGGCACAGCAAGTCTTTAGTGACAATACACAGAAAACAGGTGATAATGGGCTATTTTTTTCTGTAATTTGCAATTAGTAGAATACATTTTTATAATTTGCATATGATTCTAACGTAATCTGCATCAGAGTGTAATTTTGAGCGTAGCATATGATCAGTGGGGCCCCTAGAAAATTTTCTTAGGGGTGGCCAAAAGAGGCCACACCAAATCTTGGGGTGGCACACACAAAAAAAATATAAGGTTCATTAGTTAATGCATTTACTAACATGAACTAATCATGAACAACACATGTACAGCATTTATGGTCCCACTTTATATTAAGTGGCCTTTACTAATATGTACTTACACAGAAATTAATAATTAGTTACAATGTTCTTTTTATGTAAATACATGTATTTACTGTGTACTTATGCTTGATTAAATACATGTTTGTAATTACATCTGTAAATAACTTCTGTAATTACATTTGTAAATACACTGTTGACCATTCCCTACACCTTAACCCACCCTTAAACCTACCCATACCATCAAACCTGTCCATAACCCAATCTCTATCCCAACTCAAGAGCACCACAAGTGTTCTCAAATACATTATAAACACAGTAAGTACATTGTATTTATTTTTTGATGCAAGTACAAAGTAGTTAAGGACACTTAATATAAAGTGGGACCGCATTTATTAATCATAATTGAACATTTACTAATGCATTATTAACATTCAAGTCCATGCTTGTTAACATTAGTTAATGCACCATGAGTTAACATGAACTAACAATGAACAACTGTATTTTCAATAACTAACGTTTACGAACATGAATAAACACTGTAGTAGATGTATTGTTTATTGTTTGTTCATGTTAGTAAATGCATTAATTAACATTAACTAATGAACCTTATTGTAAAGTGTGGCCAATGTATTTTTGTTTCTGGTAAATGAAATAATGTGGAATTAGTTCATTTAATTAATTACTCTTGAAATATTGCAATTTACTCCTTGAAATTATTCAGCAAGTAGATGTGAAAACCCAATAAAAATCAATATTTAATTTAAAAACACTCTTCATAAATAACTTTTCACAGGAATATGTTTTTCACATGCATTTATTGTACAGCATACAGTATGCGTGTATATGTATATGTGTGTGTGTGTGTGTGTGTGTGTGTGTGTGTGTGTGTGTGTGTGTGTACGTGTTTTTGTGACATATCAGGACACAAATCTGTATAATGACATGGGTATGACACAGGTATTACAAAAAGGAGGTGAAATATGAGGACATTGGTGACGTCCTCATTTCTCAAAATGGTTATAAATCACACTGAATGAGTTTAATCAGAGAGTAAAGCTGCACACAGTCTCCTGTGATGGTTGGGTTTAGGGGTGGGGTGGGGTGAGGGCAATACAATATACAGTTTGGACAGTATAAAATGAATGGAAACCTATGTAATGTCCCCACTTTTCACAAAAACAAACATGTGTGTGTGTGTGTGTGTGTGTGTGTGTGTGTGTGTCCCAAGTCTAAAATTAATGAAGATTAATGAGTTAATTAATAAAACAAACAAATAAACAAACTGAACAAAAGGCATTACTATATACCTTATAATATCAATTATCCATATTCCTTTTTGAGCCACAATATTATTAATGCAGCTTCTTCTATTGATGTACCTTAAGGTAAATTTTAAATTGCCATTGCTGTCTATTGAAGGTGTGTGCGTGCTGTCAACGATGACCAGGGAGGGCAGTGGTTGTTCTAGTTTAAATTACACCCTGGGCAAACCACCCCATCCGCCTGCAAAAGATGAATTGCCACTCTAAATTAATACACTTATATAAAGTAAATCGTATCCCAATGCTTTTACTAGGTTTTTTTTTTTTTTTTGCCCCTGCATATGATGATATAATGCACATGATATAATTAATATACTGAATGCATCAATGTTTAAATAAATATGCTTGCAAAGATAGAATGAGCTTTTTTATTACCCTGTCTGTTCCTAGATAAAAGGCATATTAATTTAATAAATTAGTTTTTCATTATTTCTATGCAGAGGCAGTACGATTTTGTTTAATTTTTAAAACATTGTTTTTAGAGGGTTTCTTTATCAGTTCTGCACATAACCTTTTTCAGTTTCTGCACCGCTTCTACCTACTTGTATAGTTACCAAAGGATGCAGTGCAGACAAGGGTAAATTAAAGCCCCATTTACACAACCAGTGACACACGGTGACAAAGATCCCGTTCAGAATTAGACAATTTAACTAGATATAGACAGCGACCATTGGTGGCCGTATTTGGGTGTGTTAAATGACAAGCTGAGAAACCTTTAAGATTTTGCAAATGAAAAGCGACTTCCATGAACAACAGCTAACAAAAGAATCAATAAATCTCACATGATCCTCTATCAGCTTCAGTACCAAACTGTTGTATTTTCTATGCTGTGGACCTACTGGCATTTACTGAAAGCCATAATGGAAAAAGAGCACACATATTTTTCTTGTTCATCTATGACATACTGTGAAAGTGATTGTTCACCCCCCAATTATTATTTTTTGTTCTTAAGTGGTTCCACACCTTTATGAGTTTTTTTTTTTTATTCGGTTGAACACCAAAGAAGATTTTTTGAAGAATACTGAAAACCTGTAACCATAGTAGGAAAAACAAATACTATGGAAGTCAATGTTTACAAGTTTCTTTTCTAACAGAAGGAGTCTAACAAGTTTGTGACAAATAAAAGGTGAGTAAATGATAACAATTATTAGTTTTGGGTGAACTATCACTTTAAGCAATTACAGTATGTACTGGTTCCATTAATATTTAGTGTTTTTTTCCTCAAGTGTTTATTTTCAGCTCAGAACACAGTGAATTCATTCTGTCTGTAAATATCATTCATAAACATTAACAAAATCAACTTTAGATTGGGAAAGCCTGCATAAAACTTCAGTCGCCACACAGGGAAAAAGGCAGCTACAAAGTTGCTGGTAGTGTGAATGGGGCTTTAGACCCAACAGGATTAACCAGATCTTAATGCTTACCAGTTGGACTTTGGTTCTTTAGCTATCACTACCATTGTAAAATTTTCAATTCTTGTTATATTTTCAATGCTTTGCAGTGTTTCCACAAGAGGCTCATTGTCAGTTTTTCATCTTTTCAGCTCCTGCATCACTTGTACCTGCCATTGTTACCACCAGAGGACACAGTTCAAACAGCAGCAGACCAAAAGCTTTACCAAAATTGAGCCGTTCCTTACCAGTTGGTTTGAACTTCAGTTCTTTAATGACACATAGTATGTCCATTGCATTATAAACCAAACATGCATTGTTTAACTTTTTTGTGTGCTTTTTCTTTCAGAAGCTTGTTTTCAATTTTTCACTTTTACCTTTTTCAGCTTCTGCATTACAACGGAGCAGTTCCTTACCAGTTGATTTGATCAGTGGATCAACATCATTGACCAGATCAAAACCACTTTCTTTACCAGCCACACCTGACTTGAGTTATCTATTGGTATCTTTGCCGGACACAGAGGACAAGGCAGCATTCCAGGTGATTGGTGACCGTGATAAAGACGTGTCTGATGCCTGTAGAGAGCTTCAGCGGGCGTACGACAGTCAGTGTTCAACACAATCTTTCCTCTCTGATGAGATTGAGCGTCTCACTAAGGATGAGCTGGACAAGCTGCTGTCTAAAGTAGATTCACTGCACCTTAAGCTAGAAACCAACAGCTCTGGAGAATGGGTGGTTAAAGGGCTAAGAGATGGAGTGAATGAGGTGGCGAGACTAATACAAGATGCACTTCGCAGACAGGTGAGATCGTAAAATGTCAAAATTCTGCCAAAAAAATGTTTTCAAGCAGCACAAATTATGCACACAAATGTATTTGTATAGCACTTTTCACAATAATTATTGTTCCAAACAGCTTTTAAAGGTGCACTTTGTCAATAAAATCAAATTTAGAAAAATTAAGGTAATTAGTGTCCATAACTTTAACTTATTAACTAGTAAATAATAGCTTTTAACAGTTAAAGTTATTAAATATATAAGCATAGTTAACCTGCAGTTATATAATACACAGGTCATGTCTATGTGTACACGTTCAATTAAGTTTTGTATTGAGTGTACGTATAGTCCTCGATGGTTGGCCTCATCTATTCTGAAGTCTTGGATCGCATCAATGGCACTATGCAATCTCTAGATGCCTCAAGTCGGGTATCCAACAATGAAAATCGGGTAGAACAATGAAAATAATTAGCGTATCGGCAGCTTATAATGTATTTAAACAAGAGAAACTGAATGTCAATGTGAAAATGAAGTGATATAAATAAAAAAGGAGTTATATAAACAAACATGGAAAAAAAAACAATACACAGAAGTGTTTTAAACAAAGTGCCTGGTGTATTAAGACATGAGGAGTGTGTCCTACAGATTGCAGTCAAGCCCACACTTCACCATTGCTTGACTCAAAAGATAGGTCTGTAATCTAGTTTTGAACTGATAGACATACCTGTCAACATTGGGATGTGAAGATAAGGGAATTGCCCACCATAATAAAGAATTTGTTTTGAGGATTTCATAGGAAGGGTGACGGCACCTGTAATGAAAAGGAAGAGACATTAAAAAGAAATTAAAATAAATTTTAATGTTTATTTCAAAGGGTTTTCATTCCTAATCTAAGCGAAAGCACATAACAGACTCACATTTAGGAGCAAGGGGCGACCCCTGGTGGTTCGGTGGTATGGGTTGCGTATAGAGAGGTTCGGCTTTTTAATGTTTATTTACCACCCTTCAGACTGAAAATAAGGCAGAAATACTGGAAAATACCTTTATGGGTTGATAGTGGGATAGAACTGTAAAGTACGGGAGAATCCCAGGGAAAATGGGAGGGTTGACAGGTTTGCTGATAGAGTGTGTCTGAGCCTCGGACATTATCAAGAAGGCTATTCCAGAGTTTTGTAGCCATATATGAGAAGGCTCGACCTCCTTTAGTGGACTTTGCTATAATATCAAATAATATCTATTTGAATGCATTTTTCTTTATCATAATTTATTTTCATGATTCAAAGCTGAGTGTCATTTCAGAAATCTTTCTAATGTGCTTCTTTTTTAACCAAGAAACAGCTATTATTATTATTATTATTATTATTATTATTATTATTATTATCATGTTATTGTTTTTGTTTTTTTAAGTTGAAATTTGTTTTGGTGATTCACATTCCCAGTGTATGCACCAACATAAATAGACTCTCATAATATCCTCAGTCCTTTTACAAACATATCCATACGTAAATAAGAACCTTGCAATTTTAATGTATAATTTTCTGTTACTTCCTACGATTTCCTCCCGATTTTTTTTTTAACTGTGCCATGTACAGGCTGTTATTGCATAAAAATTACCAATAGGCCTACAACTGATATAAGATCTCTCAGGGAGTCATTTTGAGCCAGTAATATATTACAAAATGTCAAAATAATATTTAGTGTTTAAGAGTGTTTTCACACCTGCCTTATTTAGTTCGGATGAATCATGCTAGAGTTAGTTTTTCCTCTTGGAGCGCTTCGTTGGGCAGACGTAAATGCAGCAATCGTTTTCAAGTGCGCACCAAAAGCGGACCAAAAAAGCGTACCAAGAGGTGGGCACTGTACGCTTTCAAACGAACCCTGGAGTGGTTCGCTTGTGGTGAGAACATGATCCAAACTAAAACAGACCCAACCGTAAAAAATACTGCGCCTTTTTGGACTAATCTAGCTGCTGTAGGCGGATGCTCTGTCCCATCTTATGGGGTGTGGAGAAAAAAATATTTGTTAATAGCGCTTTACCAACTGTTTTAAACAGAGAGAGGGGGGGGGGGGGGGGGCATTACCTGATGGATCATTGATAATATTTCCAGTAGATGACCTTGTCGCAGTTTAGCTAAATTAATTCACGCCTCATCCTGAAGTGACGTCCGATGCACCTTCGCCATTTTGTCACGTTTAGCATGATCAAAACAGGAACAAAAACAAAAAGGTGCAGATCCAAGTGCAGATTTCCTGACAGTGAAACAAACAAGGTGATCAAAAATACAAAGTAACAAACAAACGACAAAACCAGAAACTAAAACAGAGACCAGGCTCAGAAACAATAACACTACAAACTAGACTTAGGCAAAAATACAAAAACACGATCAGGAACAACGAACTATGAATACAAGACTTACTGTGGAACTAGGAACAAGCGAGACATGGAAGACCAGAAAACAAAGCGATGACAAACAAAGGTGGAATGGTTCAGATAATCAACGGTAACACAGAAAAGATGAGATGACGGGTCAGTGTAAGTGTTCCGGTGTATGCGCGTGGTATGTATGAGAATGTAGTTCTTTCCTGGGACGCTGCAGTGCCTACAAAGTCCTAGTGCACTACAGCGCCCTCAGGTGGTCACTCACGGATGTGACACATTTGCAATGCATTAAAACATTGTTTTTTAGCTGCAAATGTATAGTTTACATTCTCAAAATGTGTAGTTTGTCTAAAGCAATGTATACAAACTTTATAGTATACTATGACCAAGGATACAATAAGCCAGCAGAAGTCATCCCTTCATAGTAAAAAGTGACATTTTGTGTCTGCTGGTTTGTTTACTTGTGAGAGTTCCCCTGGCATTTTCCTGCCTGTTAATTCTGACCAATCGAAAAGCAGCTTTGGAAATACCTTCAATAACATCTGGCCAATGAGGGATGTAGATTTTGTCACATGACTGCTGTTGTGATGAGTCAGAAGCCATTGAATCCATTTGCAAGCTTTATTGGCACAATCACACAACTGTAAAAAAGAGTGGCGAACCAGGAATCAGACTGTAGAACAGGCAGAGTTCGGGGCAGGCAGAGAACATTCACAATTGATAAAGCAGGCTAAGAGTTCAGTACACAGATCAGGCAGAAATGGAATGAAACAGTCAGTAATGACTGCTAGGCAAATCAAGACTTTGCAACGATCAGTAACGTGAGTATGGCTTATATGCACGGAGATGATGAGAGACACCTGTGCCGCAATCAGTGACAGGCAGAAGGGCTTATGGGAATTTGAGTCCGATTAGAATTCCGGTGATGACTCCCTCTGGTTGTGCACAAGAGGGGTAAATGCATTCTCACTTACAACAACTGCATTTTGGTTCTTTTCACTTGACTGCGTGAGACCCATCGAAGATGAAAACATGACCTCTCTGGACAGGAATTTAAAACATGGACCAATCGCTTGCTTTTTTAATATCTAATCTTTTTGTTTAATCCCGCCCATTTTCGCAGCGCCATACGACAGAATTTTGCAGGCGCAAACTCTAGTGTGACCGCAGCTTTATTGTGTGTCAAGTAGCTGCACAACAAGCAGTATAATACAGTGGGGTCGTTTTATTAGTTGAATTTTCTTTTAATATCTCCACACAGCCTCTAGTTTGGGAACCACTGCCCTGGATAATCAAAATCTGAGAATTTAATCCACATATTTGCCATTTAATGTGATTACAGTTATGCACATATAATTAAGTAGAGTTTTGAGAGGGTCACCAAAATATAATGCATTAATATTTTAAGTGAAGTTTCATAAACTAATTTCGAGAGGAGCACGTGATATGATTGAGCACTGCTGGCCACTCATCCATAATCAGTAACAATCCAATCAGAGTGATCCAAGCTTACTATAAATGGATCATTGTCTCCTTACTGCTCCATCTTCGTTTTGGAAGAATCCCCCCTTCCACCCCATCTCCTCCTTTTCCCCCCTTTTTACTGAAGGTGGAGTTATCGAGACATACCTGATCTTGGATCCCCTGATATGCTTATTGACCAGGCGGGAGCCCTGGGCTCAAATAACTCCGAGCTCAGGGTTCTCTCCCGGGACAGCATGCCAAACCTGCTTAAATGCTAAGCATCTAAGTGGGAACTCTTGACTACTATTGACCTCAGCATATGACGGATGTATTTTTCACTAGTAAACTTGATACAAATATAATCATTTTCACTCAATGACTGGACATAATTGTTACAATATAATTAATCATTTGTATTAATCATTCCTTTTGATCAAAAATGGATTTTTTTCAACATAATAGTTTTAATAACTCATTTCTAATAACTAGTTTATTTTATTTTTGCCATGATGACAGCACATAATATTTTACTAGACACTATTCAAGATAATAGTAATCAGCTTAAAGTAAATTTTAAAGGCTTCACTAGGGTGATTAGGCAAGTCATTGTATAATGATAAAAAAATATTGCTAAAGCGGGCTAATAATATTGACCTTAAAATGATTTTTTTTTTAATTTAAATGCTTTTATTCTAGCGGAAATAAACAACATTTGGGAAATAAGAAAGAAAGGCGAATAATTTTGACTTCAAATATACTTAAAATGCTCTGACTGAAACATTTAAACATTTTATTTTCTCTGACTGTAAAACATTTTATCTTTCTCAAACCTTCAGGTAAGAGAGAAGGAACAGGATAACCTCTTCACTCAAGTGACGTGGTGCATTCTGGGAGTGCGGGGCATTTGGCAGAAGGTTCCAGAAGAGGCCAATCATAAACTTGAGAGAGCTGATGTAAATGATGGGATTGTGGATGCACAAGGTGTGAAATGGACTGTGGATATAAAGAAAATGGAGGCCACAGCATGTGTTTCAGGACAGGTGACAGCTCTCAAACGCCTGGAGAACCTTCCAGGTGAGGACGCTTTCATTAAACCTCACCACAATTATTATAAAGTCTGCATAAAATCTTTTAAAAAAACATGGTAACACTTTATTTTGATTTGAGTATTTGTAAACTGTCTACTTAATATCTGTTGATACCGCTCCTACAAAAAACCCTAAGCCCAACCCAGATGCAATGTAATTTAAATTTAACAAACAGACCATCAAAACAAAGTGTAACCAAAAAATCATCACAATCACATATTTATATGTGCAAAAATGTTTGTTATAAGCGATGTACAGTATCTGTGCTCTTCATTAGGCTCCAAAAATAAATTTATCCTCATAATAATAATAAGTCAAATACCATAACCTTCCTTCCCCCTCTAAATGACTTTTTTTTTACTACTGGTCACATGGAATGCCTTTAGGGTGAGACTATCAGGCCTTTAGGGTGGGACTATCAGGCCTTTAGGGTGGGACTATCAGGCCTTTAGGGTGGGACTATCAGGCCTTTAGGGTGGGACAATTAGGCCTTTAGAGTGGGACTATCAGGCCTTTAGGGTGGGACTATCAGGCCTTTAGGGTGAGACTATCAGGCCTTTAGGGTGGGACTATCAGGCCTTTAGGGTGGGACAATTAGGCCTTTAGAGTGGGACTATCAGGCCTTTAGGGTGGGACTATCAGGCCTTTAGGGTGGGACAATCAGTTCTTTAGGGTGGGATTATCAGGTCTTTAGGGTGGGGCTATCAGGCCTTTAGGGAGGGACTATCAGGCCTTTAGGGTGGGACTATCAGGCCTTTAGGGTGGGACAATCAGTTCTTTAGGGTGGGATTATCAGGTCTTTACGGTGAGACTATCAGGCCTTTAGAGAGGGACTATCAGGCCTTTAGGTTGGGACTATCAGGCCTTTAGGGTGGGACTATCAGGCCTTTAGGGTGCGACTATCAGGCCTTTAGGGTGGGGCTATCAGTCCTTTAGGCTGAGACTATCAGGCCTTTAGGGTGAGACTATCAGGCCTTTAGGGAGGGACTATCAGGCCTTTAGGCTGGGACTATCAGGCCTTTAGGGTGGGACTATCAGGCCTTTAGGGTGCGACTATCAGGCCTTTAGGGTGGGACTATCAGGCCTTTAGGGTGAGACTATCAGGCCTTTAGAGTGGGACTATCAGGCCTTTAGGGTGCAACTATCAGGCCTTTAGAGTGGGACTATCAGGCCTTTAGGGTGCGACTATCAGGCCTTTAGGGTGGGACGATCAGGCCTTTATGGTGGGACTATCAGACCTTAAGGTTGGGACTATCAGGCCTTAAGGTTGGGACTATCAGGCCTTTATGGTGGGACTATCAGGCCTTTAGGGTGGGACTATCAGGCCTTTAGGTTGGGACTATCAGGCCTTAAGGTTGGGACTATCAGGCCTTTAGGGTGGGACTATCAGGCCTTTAGGGTGGGACTATCAGGCCTTTAGGTTGGGACTATCAGGCCTTTAGGGTGGGACTATCAGGCCTTTAGGTTAGGACTATCAGGTCTTTAGGGTGGGACTATCAGGCCTTTAGGTTGGGACTATCAGGTCTTTAGGGTGGGACTATCAGGTCTTTAGGTTGGGACTATCAGGTCTTTAGGGTGGGACTATCAGGTCTTTAGGGTGCGACTATCAGGCCTTTAGGTTGGGACTATCAGGCCTTAAGGTTGGGACTATCAGGCCTTTAGGGTGGGACTATCCGGCCTTTAGGTTGGGACTATCAGGCTTTTAGGGCGGGATTATCAGGTCTTTAGTGTAGGGCTATCAGGCCTTTAGGGTGGGATTATCTGGTCTTTAGGGTGGGGCTATCAGGCCTTCAGGGTGGGACTATCAGGCCTTCAGGGTGGGACTATCAGGTCTTTAGGGTGGGGCTATCAGGCCTTTAGGGTAGGCCTATCAGGTATTTAGGGTGGGATTATCAGGTCTTTACGGTGGGATTATTAGGTCTTTAGGGTGGGATTATTAGGTCTTTAGGGTGGGGCTAGGGCAGATCTATCAGTACTTAAGGATGGAGCTAATAGTCATTTATAGTGAGACCATCAGAGCCCTATCATACACCCGGCTCAAGGCGCGACGCAATTGTTGTTCGCTAGTTTCAGGTCGACGCAAGTGTAATTTTGACGTTTCTCACCACACTGTTTAAATAGCAAATGCATTTGCGCTCACATGTACGCCTATAGGTGTTCTGGTCCAAAAAAAGAGGTGTGTTGCATTAGTTGTGCGCATTCCCTTAAACACTGCTTAATACACACAGGATGTAGAGCAATGCACAAATATCTTTACATATCAAAAAGAATTATAGGATTGAAATATTTTCAAAATAATTATTTTGTTTATAAATATAAAAACCACTGCCTCCATGCCTTCTTCATCTCGGGGGGCTTTTTCAGTTTATTCATGTTAATTTGCTTTTGTATAATGTTATTATTATTAGCAGTATTAATTATTGTATCCTTATTTATATTTATTTTATTAAAAACACGCTTAGATTTGCCCACCTGTCAGGTTTTATAAGGGCACAGCATGTGTATTGGGATATATCTCAGGTTTTTGACCACACTTATTAACATTATTATTGTTCATTTATTCGTTTGCTGTAAATTAGAACTGAATTTAGAAACAGTTTTGAAACAAATCTTTGCGCTTAACAGACAAAATTAATTATGTAGGCTAATAGACGTACAACACGTTTCCTTATCCACGAAAGAGAGTGAAAGTGAAGTTTTTCCACTTACAAAGTCGTCATGTAAATAAATAGCAAATGCACTGTGGTGCAACGCAACTGACTCTTAAAGGGAATGGGAGATGAGACTCTGGTTTATTCTCAAAACACACCTATAACTCATTAAGAGAATAAGCTCAATGCTGTTAGACCATGCGCCACAACTCAAATCTGATTTTTCCATCCTTAAAATAGCAAAAGTGGATTCAGACACTCCCTTAATGCTTTTGCGCCCTGCGCTTTGGACTTTGCACCTAGATTGTCAAAATAGAGCCCAAAGTCAATTTGGCATACGGCTATAATTTATATAGGGTGGAGCTATCATTCATTTAGGGTGGGGTTATCAGGACATGTCTCGTTTCTGCCCTGCTTTTGTTCATTCATTAATTTTCCTTCATTTTATTATCAACACCCATCTTCCAAAGATCTAATCAGTTCCCAAAGGATGAAATCTTGCACCGCCTACATTGTTTTTTCCAATTTCAGGACCATTTAATTTGGAGAAACATCACGATATGGGGAAAAAAAGAACTTAACTTCTGTTTAATGCTGACTTTAAATACATTATTAGATACTCTGGATGATAAAATATAATCTCACCGGTCACAATTGTGACAATAGCTATGTTTCAATCCGCCTATTTTTTTGCATATTTTGGAATATTGCCAATATGCACATACATTTTGAAAATGCACATAAAAAACATAAAACAGAGTTGGACAAACCTTTTTTCTGATAAGAAAATGTGCATAAACAAAAAAAAAAGCACTCTAAAAAATATTGTTTAGACTAAAAGGTTTGCATCAAAATATTCAAGTTACAACAACATCTAACAAAATAAAGTTTTGTTTTCCTGTTGTGAAAACTTAATAAAATTTCTCTGGCAACTTAAAAGTTTTAACCTAATCAGCAATTTTAGAATTTTTAAGCTACAACAATGTATTAAACTACGTAGTAACAACAGATCTCTTGAGTTATTTTTTAGAGTGTGGAAACACATCTCATACATTCCAGCATGTGCATCAAAAAAGTCATGTGGTTTTAACAGATTATTTGGTGATAAAAAGATGTTGAATTCACATCTTGGATGGAAACTATCTTTTTGTTTCTTGAAGACAATTTAATTTCAATGCTGTATAAAGCTAATTTAACCACATAATATATCAAAGTAGTTGTGAAGTTTGTGTTTGCAAATTGTAAGGAAATAATTTGGCATTAAATGTTTAAACTCATGTCTCACTCTTGTGCCTTTCAGATTTCTCTTTGCCCATCTACTGGGACAACATGAGACAAAACGAGCATTTAAAGGTGGTTGATTTAGATCAGCAATCAGCAGAGTACCAGACCGTGAAGGCGGATTTCAAGAAGACCATCAAACAGACTGTGCTCAAGGTTTGATACTCAACACCATTATTATTGTGCGTTACATGACACAAACATCCTGAAAGACATATAAACAGCATTTAAAGAACTATAATGGGCTAATTCATATCTTGAAGTTTTGTAGTCTTGAGTCAACAAGAGTAGAGAATTTATTGTAGGTTATACACTATAGCAGGGGTTTTCAAACTTTTTCAGCTGAGGGCCCCTTTGTGTCGGGCGAATTCTTTCGGGGACCCCCAAAAAATAAATATTACACCACCCCCTCAAATTAACAACTGTACTTAATTTTTTAAAAATTGTATTATTCAATACATTTATATTATTATATATTATTCAATAATTTTATATTATTCACTATCTGGATTAATTTTTGTAAGATGTTAGATGAGTTGACATGGTTTCAGTGCTTCAATCTATTGATCAAATCTTGATGCGCAGTGTTCATTGTGGTCTGCTCTCACTGGATTCCATCAAGCCATATTTTGTGTTCGAGTCATTACGTTTACACAGTTTTTTATGCCATTTTTATGCTTTTTTTCTGCCTATGCACAGCTAGACTCCTCTGTATTTACCCTTACAGCTGAGAGTCTAAATGTATCGAAAGATTTAAAGCTTTGAAGTTTTAAAGAGTTTTGTCATTCATCAGCCTGTTAACAGTTAACTGAACTGTTGTAACTAGCAATACTAAAATGGAGGCTGTAGTGGTTCAGTGCGTTTTGTTTATTTTTATTCCTTTTTTTTTTGTGCACATCATAATTTACTCAGGTCGACAATCCTGACTTACACTAATAAAAAATAATTTCCTAAATGCAATCTAGAATTGGGTATTCAAGTTCAAAAAGCCACAAATTTTACTTTGCTTAATTTTAGAAGCTTTGCTGACTTTAAAATGTTCATACCAGTTTGTTCTATTAATAATATTACTGAACATTACATTTAAATTATTTACACAAATAAATATGGGAAAAAGTGGAACATCTTGAAAAAAATGCATTTATATTCAGAGTATTAAAATTTGATCAGATATGTTGAGCTCCATTAAATACAGAGCACTAATACATTTTAATATTTAATAATTATTAGCCCTATAACATAACACAAACAGATACATTATAATTTGTATAGGCTATAGTGGTTTTACTCAGGGTGTATACAATTTAGTTTTTTTTAACCATCCAGTTATGAACCAATGTGAGTAAGAGGTCCACTGCAGAGCTCATCCAGCTGTCATTACTGTAACAGGAGTGAAACTCGCTGATGTGATGACAGCTCCATTCATTGTTATTGCAGCACTTTTTGCTTTACAATTTTAATATGTTTGTTTGCCATGCTGCAATGAGGACCGTCTGATATTTGTATAATGCAAAGTGTAAAGCCTGTCGCACTTTGGACGAGGTGCAATGTTGTGCCGTGTCTTTAAAATGCTGTTTGTTCCCTATGAGTGAAGCCTGCGCAAAGAGGCGCGCGCTCCGCAGCACCCAGCTGATTGATTACTTAGGAATGCAAGCCATAAACAGGGAAGTGCTTCCAGCCTCCGATAATGTTCTTATTGATCATGTATTTTAACTGAAATATTGTCAGTAAATAGACCTGAGCATTCATTTAGTTGTTTAGCGTAAAAGAGGTAAGCGTAAGTGAAAGGTAAACGCCGTCAGGTGCAGCAGACAAGCACCAAAAATCACAGGAAGTGCCCGGCCAGAAGCGCTTATTCAATAAAAGTCCCCGTGCACAGAGGCGGGCCGTTGCGCTTCTTTTCCTGTTTCACGAAAGTGTCAACTGCATTTAAATGACATAAGCATAAAGCTTAATTTTTGCAGTACTTTTGAGCTCAAATTATTATAAAAAATATATTAACCTTCAGAATGATGCGGGACACAAAATTCAACCATGTGGGCCCATTGATTACCCCTTATCTAAATTTTTTTGCGGCCCCCCTAGCGCCATCTGGCGGCCCCCCAGGGGGCCGCGGCCCCCAGTTTGAAAACCCCTGCACTATAGGGATAGTGCACGCAATACTCAAAATTGTCATCATTTACTTACCCTTAGGGTTGGAAATCATTTTAATTTGAATGATTCTGGTTTCTATTTAATGAGGAGGCATTCAGTGATTCAACAAGAGTGGAACCGAGGGAATTGGCTCTAAAATTGGCTCTAAAACAAGTCCAACAATTCGGAACTGATTCTAAAAACGGAACCAGTTCTCGATACCCAACACTACGTACTCCCTTAATTGTTCCAACCCTGTCTGTTTCTTTGTGTGATTAAACATTGTCGGTTGTACACGAACAACAATATGCAGTATAGACCATTTTTAGAAATGTAAACAATGAGGCTAATGTATCTCCTGTTTTAGATTTTTCTTTTCGATAACTTCAAAGAATAAAGAAAGCTCCACATATTGATGTGGTCATTAGTTATGACTCAAAGCAAATCTCTCATATAATATATCTACCAAAAGACATATAATTACTTATATTAAGTAATATTAAGAAATATTACTTTACAAACTGTATTGTAAATAAATCATAAGGACATATTTGTTCATATTAATGCTGGGACAAATTAAAAGCTGAATAAATATAAGTTTACACACATTTACATAAGTAAATTAATAGACTCACTGATGGGCTAAAAATCTGCAGAATTCAGTCTATTTCTGCACGCACAGATTCCGTGTGGGCCTAGTTGAATCCAGACTGAATCGCGTCTTGTTACAGCTCTGAAATAGTTTGACGACAATATCGCCATATTGAAATGCTCTATAGAGGAATGTTGAAATAAAATGTCATTGAGCTCAATAATATATATATATATACACACACACACATACAGTTGAAGTCAGAATTATTAGCCCCCTTTTGATTTTAATTTTCTTTTTTAAATATTTCCCAAATGATTTTTAACAGAACAATGAAATTTTCACAGTATGTCTGATAATATTTTTTCTTCAGGAGAAAGTCTTATTTGTTTTATTTCTGCTAGAATAAAAGCAGTTATTAATTTTTTACAACTATTTTTGGGACAAAATTATTAGCCCCTTTAAGCTATTTTTTTTCTTGATAATCTGCAGAACAAACGATTGTTATACAATATTTTGACTAATTACCCTAACCTGCCAATTAATCACCTTATTAACCTAGTTAAGCCTTTAAATGTCACTTTAAGCTGTATAGAAGTGTCCTGAAAAATATCTAGTAAAATATAATTTACTGTCATCATGGATAAGATAAAATAAATCAGTTATTAGAGTTAAGTTTTTAAAACTATTATGCTTAGAAATGTGTTGAAACAATCTTCCCAGAACAAAACAGAAATTGGGGAAAAAAATAAACAGGGGCGCTAATATATATATATATATATTTTCGGTTCGGTACGGTTCGGTTTCTGTTTGCTGTGGGGTTAGGGTTGATGTCATGTTAACAGCAATGCTAAGAGACAATTCACTTAATAAAAAGAACATCTTAACTTTTTCTTTATTAACTTTGTCATCGCATTTTTAGTACAGTCAGGATACCTGAGTAAACAACTAAAATTAAATAAATACCTCCAATATAGACTAGTCAGAAAAAAAAAACTATTTTCTTTAGTGCAGCCATCTTAACTGAGTAAACTAAAATTAAATAAATAACTGCAGTGTAGACTAGTGAAAGATCTTCAAAAACACCATAATATCCACATTCTCCGATGAGAGACTTGATGGCTGTGCAGACACAGACGCTCATTTTTGATTATCTATGGTTTCAGTTAGATAGATAGGTTTCCGTTTAAATTAATGAAAAAATATACATATAATGTGTTTGTAAAGTGTTTTTACATGACATATTCACCAGTAAAATACATTGCGGTTGTGTCAGAAACTAATGTTAGGGTTGTAGCCGGCTGTATGTTTGCCTCCCGATCTCTCTCTCTCTCTCTCTCCCGCTCCCTCTATGCCGGTCATTTATGTAGGTCCGCCTTCATGACAGCTGCTGCCTGTCATTTCAGTAGGTCCGCCTTTTTGACAGCTGATTGGTCAGGAGACCGATCTATCATCATTTGGTGACGCAGCGCGGGAATGTAAAAAGCAATTCAGGAAGAGCGGGAGAGAGAGCGCTTTTTCCTTTGATCTCGTTTTTCGTGTATTATTCTGACATGATTATGATTTTCGTTGTTTTTGCTTAACTTTCGTTTGGGCAAAATTATTTTGCATTACTTTTGCCCACTTTAAGTAATTTTGTAAGGTTTGTACATTTTTATTTCAATTGATTTGTATATTATTTTTTGTATCCGCTCCTTCCCGACAATATAGCTGTTCACTCTTAGTGTAAGGTGAATAGGGAAAATGTCATACGATTTCCATTTTGCAAACACGTAGAAAATGTATTGTTAAAGACATCAGGTAAGAGGTGAAGGTCATCTTTGTTTATTTTATTCAGTATAGAGAAGAATGCGGCGCTCGGCGCTGAAGACCTTTTTTTTCTTTTCATCAGTTTTAGCGAGGTAAGAGGGGTTATTCATGAGTTAGAATTGTTTTATTATATTTATTTCTTTTGTTTGTCTTCACTATCACCCCCTTGCTCGAGTTTAACTAATTTTTGTTTGATACTTTTGTTTGAATTTGTTACTTTATTATATTATTTTTATTAGTGTAAATATTTTTCTTTTTTTTGTATATTTGGGCATTATTCTGGTTTGACTTTTGTACATTAAATCACTTTTGTTGGCAGTTCTGTTGCTTACACCCTCACATTGTGAAATTACCACACTTTTAAAATGTTTTTCCTTACAAGTAAGTTTCGTGAAACAGTTAAGACAGACAGGCAGGCGCTTTGTCTACGACACGAATTCTATTCCTGTACTCAACTGGAAAACCAAAATGTTTCCACACAGATGACTTAAATGTGTCTGGGGGATCTGCAATCTCAGTACTATGTAAAGCAGCCATCCTGCGTCCAGTAGTAACAAGTGTGATGCTCACTCAAGTCACATGACAAGACATGCACTAAAATACTAACTTTAGAATATAATATTTAGAACAAAACCTCATCATTACTAAAACAATTTAATTAAATGTGATAATAAAGATGTGTTTAAATTGGTTCAATTAGTTAGAGACAAGTGACGTCATCCTCAACAATGGGCAGCAGGGGGAGTGTGAGTACCGCGATACGCCTCGAGAGTTTCGCGATACGTATCGTGGCTGGAGTATCGCG